ATGTAAGCATCTGAGTTACCACTGAAGGCATAGCATAAATGATAGTGGGCGTCTGAGGGTGTCATTACTGAGAAATGTCAAAGAAATTCAAAACCTTACATTTGAAAACAGGTTTGCATTCCTCCACTTAAGGTGACGTTATCATTGGAAACAATAAAAACGAACTATTTTGATGTAGAATCTATAAATTGAATCGTTAGAGCAGAACAAAATGGTTGTATTGTAGCCTGAGTTCCGTGCAGCCTCTAGTTTCACCAGGTGGAAAAATGGTCCATATAATGTGAATACATGCAGAAGTAGACAGTAAGAGGCCCCTGACATCAGGCGTATTTTTTTTTTTAAATAGTAGGGGCTCTTCACTCTGCATAGCAGTATAAATAGCCTTAAAAAAACAAACAACCCACTCCGTGGTAACGAGAGTCATATTTCTGATCCATATGCCCTAAGTGAAGCCGTTAGTCTCATCTAACTGACCCAAGGGTTGGTGCTGGTGTGACAGTTCCAAGTGTTCAGAGCAGACTTCCAGCTTCCAGTTCATGGCTCGGTGGGGGGGAGCAGACCCACGTGAGACAGTGTCAATGGCTGTATTGTTCAGTGTGAGGAGCGTCATTCTCTCTGGGAGCAGGAAATGGTGCCCATTCTCGGACCAAACCATTAATGTCATGTAGAGCAGCCATAGCATCTCTGTGACTGCACTCAGCCGGACTGTAGCAGGGTAGAACTGGGTGACTCTTAGTGAAGCTGTCCAACGCCATTAGACAAAATGGAACCACGTGCTAACAAAAAGGACACAGGGTCATCAATGTCTCTCTTTACCATTGGCCTAATCATAAACAAATTAGTGGGAAAAATGTGGAACACTAATCCATCATGTGGAATGTTGAGTTAATTTAAATAATTACTTATGGGTTGAAATCAAATTAACATTAACATTAGAACTAAAGTCAGTTAAAAAATTGGACATGCACAGATCAGTAATCAATACACCATTTTCCCAGCTCTGTGATGAAAACAATAACAAGCAGGGATGCAAACTTGTCATCTTTTGGCGAAATTTGCCGTTTTGAATCCAAAATAGGTCGTTTGTGTGATTCATGTAGATCTGCAATAAAATATTATTGGGGTATGGGCAGGGTTGCTAACTTTGGGTACCTGGCTGGAGTGAGATTTTGATATCATGGGTTTAATTACACACATGCGCACAAAGTGACTGCTATTGTGTCAGTAGCGGGACCTTAGCATATATTTCGGATATATATATATAATATATATATACAAATACACAATATTGGACACAGACTATAAAGGGCACACAGTTTCATTCACTAATGAAAGTCAAACACATGTTTGTTTCCACTGTTTTATTGTGTGCCTGTCGCGATAAGCAATTAATTGACTTATCGGCTCCCGAGTATTTGTGTTGGGTAATCTATGGTAGGGCTAACCCATACAGTGGTGGGGCTCAAATCAGTATTTGAAATGTAATTACATACACGCTATATCGCCCCCTTGACAGTGAAACGCCACGCGTGAGGTTTAGATTATTTCCCTGTCTCAATCCAAATTGAACTGTATGAAATAAAAAAATAAAAAACATTTGTCTTGTAGTAAATAAAAAGGGCGACCTGGAGCCAATCCTGCCATTTCCTCACAAGTGAAAGTGTTGACATGCTGAAAACCCAACCCCCGCTTGGGGTCTGGGGGAATTATCCCCCAGGAGATTTTTTTTGAAATACTAACATAAAATACACATTCTCTCTTGAGAGGAAAAAATGGTAACACTTTATTTTGATAGTCCATAGTTAACACTCTATAAGTCATCAGTTGACATTTAGTAGCATGTCAACAGTGCATCAGTTGACATGTGTCAGTTGACATTCAACAGCACCGTTCAAACCGACAAGTAACTAAGCATTAGTTGATGATCAACAGATAAGCAACTAAAGTTTAGTTGACTATTACATTAAGCATTAGTTGATGATCAACAGATAAGCAACTTTAGAGTTTAGTTGACTATCTGTTGATCGTCAACTAATCTAGAGTTGACTATTAGTATACTTTTAGTAGGTTCTCCACTAAGCGTTTGTAGGCATGTGTTAGGACTATCCAATTAAAGTGAAAAACAGTTGAGAACAGTAGAAAGTCTATAACCTATCAACAGAACACATACATTCATCCACTGATATGCAACAGACATGGGGAAAAAAGCGAAATGTTTTGCACAACTGATCACGAACACTGGATAACTGAAGTCAATACCAGGTTATAAAGCACAGTAGAACAAACACTATACACAGCATATCAGAGAAAGAAAGCTTTTTTATTTTAATAACATACTACAAGTAAAAACACTGAACAGTTGTGAACCACATTCAATCCTACTAAAGGACATCTAAACATAATTATTAACAGGTCGCCAAAACACTTCCCCAAAGTAGCTTCCCAAAATGAAAAAACGTCCCCCCTGTCACTACCCGATCTGCAGCTCTGCCCGATCTGCACTGCGCATGTGCGAGATGGTCCGCCATATTGGACAACTCCGGACGGCAACCCAAGATGGACACTTGACACAGTGGCTTTTTGCAAAGCTCAAAAATAAAACTCGAGAGAGATGAGTTATTGTTATTACAACGTGACTTCGCTATTATTTAACAACTCTTTTTATTGGGTTCTTTTATTTGGGGTTAAGTACATTGACAGAATAAGTGAGAAGTTAATTTAACTTCTGTTAGACAGCTATATGCCAAACATGTTTGCATACATTCACAGTCAATATGTATTCAGTATGATAGCTGTCTAACAGAAGTTAAATTAATTCCTCACTTATTCTGACAATGTGCTTAACCCCAAATAAAAGAACCCAATAAAAAGAGTTGTTAAATAATAGTGAAGTCACGTTGTAATAACAATAACTCATCTCTCTCGAGTTTTCCTTTTGAGCTTTGCCAAAAGCCACTGTGTCAATGTTGTCCTACTTGGGTTGCCGTCGGTTGCCATCCGGAGTTATCCAATATGGCGGACCATCTCGCACATGCGCACTGCAGATCGGGTAGTGACACCCCCCCACAACAACGCTCAACCCACATTCCGAATTACCTGACAGAAAAGGGGATGAGCTGTTTGTTGCTTTTCATTTCAGCAATCTTTTCTGCCAGTTCACCGACTATTTTCTTCTGACAGAGTTGGGCTAATTTTAAAAGTGTGTTTTTACCCTTAAACTGGTCTAGGACACTTTTGTCCACCAGGAATACTTCAGCAATTGCTGCAGTGTCTTTCACAGCATTCCTGGAAACATGAGCTTTCTTAAAAGCTTTGGTCATCCTGAAGCCTCTCTGCACCAGTCTAAGGACACGCCGATATCTTCCCACCACATCTGAGATGGAAGACACTGAAAAATAAAGAATACATTAATGTCAATAAATGTTATTGCCCCCCAATAATTGTTGTGGTGTGTATTGTGTGCAATGTCTTAGTTGCAGGGTGAGCCATAGTGTTTCTCACATATTTTCTCTTGAAAAGGGACTACAACTTGGATGAATGTGTGTGACTTCCCATTTGTTTTAGAACATGTGTTGTATTTTATAGTAGGTACTAGGTAGTGTGCCTGTATGTGCAGTGTGCAAATCTAGTTAGATAATTGGCTATTTATTGATACAAAACATATTGGTGGTAAAAACTGGTGAGAACATTATTTATATTTCATTATTCATTACAGGTTCAGCTCAAACAGCCATAGTAGATGAGCATTAGAGGGGTGGACATTTCTCCATTTATAAGATGCATCGCGATGTACGATTCTGCATCGATGCAGTGACGGAACATAATCAGGAGTTTGGTTTCATATCAGCTTAGTGAGAGTCTTACTGCGTTCTGCTGTCATTTTCTGTTGCGCTATTTTCTCTCCTCTCCTCTGATCTCTGTTTCAACGAGGGCAGAGCTTTACACTTTGAATGCCGCCTCTCACCTCCGCACACACGGGGTGTCTGTGTGTGCGGAGGTGTGAGGCGGCATTCAAACGATCTGCAGTCCACTAACTTGTTGCTCTCACTACCAATAACAGCTGCTCTGTTATGCCAAATTCACATCAGGCAGCTGCGAAGAGCAGATCGCCACAATGATGACATTTTTCTGAGGCGTGTTCATGTGTTTTCAGGCGACAAGAAATTCTTTATAACATAGGTCAACATGTCAGGACTCTGTTTACTGATTGGCTGCGGGTACTCTCTGGCTGCGCTTCGCCACTAAAAGTTTAAATATCCCCAACTTTTTGTTTGGTTGCACTTCCTTGCAGAATCAAACGTCCGCTGTGCGCTCATAGATATCGCATAGTAGAAGAACTATGAGTAAGGGAAGGTCCGTAGCTGCTAGGCAGTGTAAATGCCATCGACTTTGTGCTGCATTCACATGATGTCGGAATAATCTGAAAAGTTATCTCCCTGCCCATTCACCCCCCCAAAGCAGTCAGCCTAGGGAAACACTGAGCTTATATGTGAAAACCTTATTTTTGTAGATTACAACACTCTTGTAATGCACTGCAGAATTATTTAAGTTTTGTTTTTATTAAGTTTATGTGAGGTGGCTCACACAGATACTGGTATTGAAAAGAAGCTTTTATATTAAAGTCTGTACAGTCAGATCTTTGAAAGCACGTTCTAAATAAAAAAGGGAGTTCAGATTTATCTGACTGCTTGTATTAATTGATAACATGTTTTGCTATGTGCAGTAATATAGAAAATTGAGGATGCAATACATTGAGATGCATCGAGGATCGTTGGGAATTTGAATCGTTGACAGGTGAATCGTATTCAAATCGAATCGTGAGGCCAGTGAAGATTTACACCTCTAGTAAGCGTGTGGTGTGTCTCTATTTTAGTTCATTCAACCTACACCCCAACCACTCCGGCACGATGAAGAGTACATTGGTGATAAGAGTGATGATGATTGGTCAATGGGATTGTATGCCCCAAACCCAGTATAAAGCACTAAGCTCACAATAATAACCTAATTACCTAACACCTAAATACATTCAGCAGGTGTCTTAGTTTATTATACCTCGCTCTCCTTTTCCTTTTGACGTCTTCGCCTTTTTGTTTTCCTTCTTCCTTTTTTTGCTTTCCTTCTTCCCTTTTTTGCTTCTCTTCTTGCCTTTCTTCTTCTGCTTCTTTTTCTTCTTTCCCTCATCAGAAGAGTCAGAGGTAGAGGTAGAGCTTGAGTCAGTGCTGGAGTCAGTGTTGGAATCGTTGCTGGAATCCGTGCTGGAGTCCAACCTCATGGGCTCCGGCTCCTTATCTCCAGTGGCCATTACTTCCAAGTTCCCATCTGTTGATGAATGATAAATGACAAACAGAAATAAACTTTAAGTGTGAGTCCCCACAAAGGATTCGCCTAAAGCCCAGAGGAGTCTGCTTTTATCACAATATACAACATTACAGAATTACATTGGTGTGACTGAGCTTGAGCAACTGATAACCTAAGGTGGTTTGAGGTTGTACATGAACTGAAGTGCATACTAATTGATGCGGTGGAGTTAGATTGGGTATGAAGAAACATTGCAGAAGTACAAATAATGTGCACAAAACTTTAGATGGGATGTCTTGTGTTTTATATATACAAAAAGGAGTTGTGTAGAATGTTTCTATCACTATTAGTGTATTTCCATGAATTCCAATCAATTAGTGCTCATGTGGTCTAAGCCAATTCATCTTTAAATGGAGAGCCAATATGCAAGGCAGCAGTCAACAGCCTATACACAAGTGAAGTTAATTAAATTCCTAAAGGAATTCCTTAAAAATGACAACAATAGCTGAAATATTGTAAATATTATAGCCCAAATAAGAGACATGAATTCCCTGGGAATTTTTATTTTCTCTGTTAAATTGTTTTTAATATTTTTGTTGAACATTTCAAGAGTATGATTTATAACGCAAAATACATTTGCAGTACTCTGCCTGAATATCAAGAACAAACTACAAACCCCTTTGTATAACACTGAGCAGAGACCTATACATGTAGAAAGCACATGTCCAGGGACTACGGATTAAAAATAGCCTCTTGGCTAACTCTGGCATATTTACAGTAATGTTTATCAATGTGCACTGTCCCTGATAAAAAAATTAAAAAATAGATGGCTTGGCAGCCATTTTTGTTTACAATTCAAAAGATGCACATAAAGCAGCAGCCAATAGGAGGCTATACAGTTTTAAATGCAATTGATAGTAGCCCAAATAGGTAAAAGCAAAGGGGCGATGATATGCTGTCAAGATACTGTCATAAAAACAAATGAAGTGCTCCCAAGCGCCCTGCCAGCAGTTTTCTTTCAGTGAAAAACGCTATATGGACACACGCCATTAGTGACCCTACACATTGTCCAGCTAAATATCTACATGCACTAAATGTAAAAATATAAGGCCAAATCAAAAATAGTTACTTGAGAAAAAATAATATTGAAAGGCTGGCAATAATATTCAATAATAGCTGAAATACTGTTGTGGTATACTGCGCCATAATTATTTTTGAAGCCACACAGGTTCTGGAGAGCCCTAATGTAAAACTTTGCTCCACCTGTACAAACCTTGCTCTTGTATAGAGTTATTGTCCTCAAGCTGCTGCTTGAGTATGCCATTTTCCTCCTCTAGCTCATCCACCCGAGACTGGAGCATCTCAGCCTTCTTTCTCCATGCAATATGCTGCTTGACAGGCATACTACTTTCCACGTTACCAGCTGCAAAATAGGACATGACAAATTAGGAATACATGTCAGAAGGCTAAAACGATGATTTGGTATGAAAAACGTTTCACATGTTTGAGTACTTCTGTTCTGGAACTGCTCAGAAACCCCCTTATTGTCAATATACCTAGGAAAGCTACACATTCTCTAAATGTCTCTAGTTTGTGGTTGAACAATTTCATGAGGCTGTGATTATCCTAGATGTCACAACATCTCATTTTATACATTGATGTCAAGTTTCAAAACATGGTCTCACTATGAAATGACTACTATGGGGACTAACATCATCACACATTAATACAATTGAGCTCATTGGATCCACAAGAGTCTCCGCTTTACAGTCTAACCCAATTAATGCAATTCCAAGACTGTATAGGGCCCCCAATATGCAGAAATATTGAAATACACCATTATGAAAAGGCGTAATTAACACATTATACTGCATGTAAAAAACGTTTTTTGCCCAAAACTGCATGTGATTATCATAAAGTGGGTAGGCCTATGTCTGTAAAGGGGAGACTCGTGGGTACTCATAGAACCCATTTTCATACAGGTATCTTGAAGTTAGATGTCAAGGAAACCCCTGTGGAAATTGCCATGTCAGTTTTTCCCTCCAAAATGTAGAATGTTTTTTAGCCCCATTGCCGACAAGCTAGCATCACGTGGTTGGTACCATTGTATGCAGGGCCGCCCCTGGCCAACTTGGGGCCCCAAGCGACATTGTGAGATGAGGCCCCCCCCCCCAACCGACAGGAGTGAAACATTTTTTTTTGGAAACAAAGTAGGCTACTTTGCAAATATAATTCCTGTTTATTATTATTATCAACGGTTACTTTTTTATACAGTGAGGTAAATGGTAAATGTGCATGTATGTCGCTCAGTATGCGTTTACAGGTGAATTTTGCATTTCCTGCCAAATACTAGTCTCAAAAAGATAAAAACATAATTAATGCAAATAAACTACTTCTACTAATAATAATAATGATAATCAATTCAATAATAAAAATACTATATTGTTTTATTATAATATAGTTGTAATATAGTCAAGACAAAACATGCTTATGACATGCTCAAAAACTGATATTTCTTAAATCTGTATTCTAGTTCCCTCTGTCAGCAATGTATCAACAACTACTCACACATTTCTATCAGTATTTCTCTGTGTTGTGGTTGACATGATGATGACTGTTGGGAGTTAAGGGGAGAGGCTGAGCATCACCATGAAATGTGCAAATTGACATACAAATGAATAAAAGGGGAACAAATGCTCCATGTTTTTTAGGCTGTAAACTTGAACTGTTATGTAAGCCAACTAGACAGACAGTATCACTCTTCCTCCTGTATATTAGCAGATAAAAGGCATAACATAATGAATGAATGGTAAATAAAGAATACTGGAAATAACTGCATCTTCATTAGCCTATATGCTCTGCAGAGACTGCCTTCTTCATGTCGTGAATTGCAGCTGATGTTTTAAGATGGCAATTGGCAATTTGACTTATACAACATTCGTAAATTGTACATTTGACTCATACAATAACCCACCTTCGAGTGATGCGCTAGTTTCTTTATGTTTTGTTTTTTGCGCCGGACTGAAACTGTCTTTTCACCGACATCTCTTCACCTGCACTAGTGGCCGTATCAAAGCCGTGATTGGTTAAATGTTGATTCATTGCAACGGTGTCGGGTTACAGACGTGCTCCTCTTGTCACCTCTCACTCTCACTCTCGCGGGGGGTGCGCAGAGGACTGCGCACAGCAGCTGAGGCCCTCTGGGCGGGGCCCCCTGCGCAAGGCGGGGCCCCATGCAGCCTGCGTGATTGGCCTGTAGGGAGGGGCGGCCCTGATTGTATGCCATTAGGTCATCTACTTTCATATGATATCATCATTACCATCTTCAAAACCGAGCCCGGTACAGCCGCTTAAAGACAGTAAAGTCGGCCGCGATCCTGCGGGTCTCATTAAGGAGAAGATTCAAACTAAGCATTTTAGCTAGCATTCTGTTTGAGCTACCAAGGAACCTTCTATATGAACCGCTAGCCCTGCTGCTCCAGTAAGGATAACTTTAGTTGTTATATTAGCTTTTTCCTAAGACCGTGTCTATGGCTATACGTCGTTAGCTTTGCTGGTAGGAAAGGTTAACAATGTTAACCTTACCGATATGCATGTTAACTTAAACATGCATATCGGTTATTTAACATAGCTAATAAAGTTAGTGGTAGTTTGTCAGGATAGTTCGCATATCTAAAGTGTGAAGTTAGCACACAAACGTCAACTACTTTCACATTTATAAACCCAACTTACCACTTTCTTGTATGGTATCGCCTCCTTCTACTGCCTCATTAATCTCTCTCCGTGACTTTGCGCGGGTACAATGCACGGGACCAACGGCACTGCTCCCGTTGTCAGATGAGGGGCGGGTTACTGAATGCACCTGAGCAAAAATGCCATGTCGATGCTGAAAATAAAAGTGAGATAGCAATATTGGTTCACATGCAAGTAATAAGGAATGCTTTCTAAAAAAAGACAATGTTACCTAAGGAAGTTGACACTTACCATCTCGACGACCAAAACATCTGAAATCCAAGGGCGTACTTGCGCAGTAGACCAATCAGGCAGTAGAAGTATGGTGCTGGTAGAAGTGCTTGGTGAATATAATTTAGTCACGTGTCAACTCTGCCAACACCATAGATAGACTGTACATATAACGCTGGTCCCGGGAGGTGTTTATATATAAATCAAGCGTATCCCATAAGTTCTCCAGCCAATTAAATTAAAGTGTGCCAGTTTTGCATTTTTGGGATGTCTGGTAGATAAATATATACATTGACTAGCTCGGTCCGATGGCTTCACTGGAGAGAAAACTTATGAGAACAGTTTATGTTAAAGAAACAAAAAAATCAACTTTAAAATTAATAAAATGGTTGCAAACAATTGGCTTGATGAAACGCAAATTGAAATGCAAAAACTGCCGCCACAAAATGAAGATGGTCTCCTCCCAGACCAAGGACCATCACATCTGGTAAGAATAAAATGCTTGCAAACTAAAGGGCCCCATATTTTGTTATGCAATCGGCTGTAGGTAGGAATAGGACATTCTTCTGCTACATTGTTTGCTAATATTAAGCATTAAGTTAGCTTAACTAGAGGGCATGTTCACACAGAACCATGGATTGCTATAGGAAGGAACCAGAAGGCCCGGATAAGCAATTCACAAATTAATGTCTATGACGGTACATTGTTTTCTTGGCACATTTTTGTTATTTTGTAACACACCTACAAGAAATATGCACAAATGTCAATGCCCTTGTCAATTAACTTCAAGTGCTGTAATACCAAATAGTAACATGTGGGGATTGTGTATGGACAAAATGAAGATATCAAGTGTGAGGAGGCCTCTAGGATGTACAGTTTTGTTCTCTCTCCCTCAGCTACCCATGGAGGCAAGATACAATTTAGACAAGTAGCTAGCTAGCTAATGTTACAACATATTTATTTCAGCGTATAGTATAGATAATGACACTGACATGAACTAGGCTTACTTGCATAAACATCATGGTTTTTACATCAGCTGCTGTTATTTGAATACATTATATATCCAATTTAGTGTGTGTATGTGTGCGTAACACACACATAGAAAATGTTCAGTTTATCATACAATTTGATGTCCTGCAATTTACAGGGAATGCCGACGTAAAAGATGTGGACATTTGAGGAGAAGTGTTAGGACAAAGTCACTTTTCTCACAATCACACTGCAGTTTATTCGCATGGATGAAGTACATCCATAGGTAAGCAATGCAAAGGTATTATCTTATTACAGTATTTGATAGATTGCTGTTATCATAATGTATGGTGGCATGGATTTATGGTCAATCTGAAAGAATATTACAAGAGCATATCCTGTCATATAACCTGCCTTGATTGGCCAGATATGTTACAGTAACAAAAAAACTCTCTGACGTTACTTTTGGCTCTTGCTAATTTCATCATGTTGTAAGTTGACCATATTTAGTTTTTCTGCTCTTAAGTATTATTTTGTTCTGCTTTCAAGCATTAGGATTTCTTATAAATCATAAGTTTGGGCTTCTGACAGAAGAGTATGGTGGTGATTCTATCTATACAACCAGATGTGACACTGTGTTGCAATGAGCATCAGTTTTAGTCAGCCATGTACAGGATGGTTGATTGACAGGCTGGCTTGTTATTGATGCTAGTTAAAAAACTAATGGCCCAAATACAATATACTCGGTATAAATGATGCTTCGTGACTTATAGCTTGATCAAATAAATGTTTTCTTCTTTTGGAAATGCACTGTCCTTATTTCATTATTTGTGTTAATCCTTGGTAGATTTGCCCAGGGTTTGCATTTACGGCAAGTTGACATGCTTCAAGATGGCATTGCAAAGAGCTCAGCAACACTTTCCATGATGTCAAAGAAACTCAGAAGAATCTGTGTAAAAAGCCTGGGAAAGCACCAAAAGAAAAAGAAGCAGAAAGTCGGTGGAGTTAATGTCCTTGTCCACATTGATGAGAGCAAATTCTGCCACAAACGCAAGGTAATATCATTTAAATGTGCAATACACTTGACTAGATGTGTTACATTTTCTATAACCTCAAAGAGCTTACATCATTATGTGAATCATTAGGATAGATATAGAGAGTGGGTGGGAGGGGAGAGTCATAGATGGGATATACAAAATAAATGGCAGAAATGAATATCACTCTCCCTAAAGTTGTCAATCAGTTAATAAAAAACATTGATGAAAAATGTGATTATGTGAAATACTCATTTTAGGAAAGTTTATTTTATTGTATTTGTTTAACCTAAAGAAGGTTTATTTACGGAAGCGTAATGCATACACGTGAGAAATAAAATGTTTCTGTTTTTATTAATTTACAAGATTATTATCTCAGAATTCCAGGAAAAGTTCTCGTGAAAAACCTTTTTTTCTCGGGTGAATGCATTAGGCTTCTGTATTTATCTTATATATTAGTCAAATAAAACAGGAACAGGTGTTCCTAACTCAAACATTACATACATAATGAATAAATAATTCAATATTCACACAAAGCCAGAGTCAAGACTAAATTGTGGGTTTTCTCTGGAAGTGTTTCCTTGTACGATGTGAGGGTCTAAGGACAGAGGGTGTCGTATTGTCATACTGATATTCTGTACAAACTGTGAAGTCCACTTAGACAAATGTAACATTTGTGATATTGGGCTATATAAATAAACATTGATTGATTGATTGATTGAATTGCATTGCAGTGTCACAAGATTTGGTAATTGTTTTCAATCAATTTCAGTCAAGATTTTCTGGTTCCTAATGTGGTCATAGTGACAAAAATAAAAGCACAAATTCATGTTGTAATAATGTTCACACTGTTTTAAAAAAAACTTTTTTATACTGTTTTTTTGGTAGTATGGAAGAGGACGCTTTGGTAACACCTGGAGAAGAAGAGATCTTGGGTGTTTGGTATACTAGAGATCAAAGCTGCAAGCAGACGTCCCATTCTTCGCCTTGTAAAGAGAAGAAACAAGGAGACCCTTGTTCCCATCATCAAGAAGCATGTCAAGCCTCAAAGTCTTGTTGTGAGTGATGAGTGGAGAGCATATGCCAGTCTTTCCCAGGAGGGCTACAGGCATGTCAGGGTCAACCACAGCCAGAATTATGTTGATCCACAAACAGGACTACATACACAAAATATTGAGAGAGCATGGCAGACATACAAGAGGGAAGTTTGGCGTATGCGGGGGAATCGTTCTGAGAAAACTTTTAAAAAACAGCTCTCCTTCATAGAGTGGACCTACTGGTTAGCAAGAACCTATAAACATGGTGTACTTGGAAGACTTATCAAGGACATAAGGAATGCTAACCACAGATAAGTTTAGGACCTTTCTGTAGGCAGATTATTGTTGTTAACTGATCGAGCTGCACACCCTGGTAATTAGCAGGGGGTTATACCCACACATTGGGCCCAAAGGCTCTTTGCTGACGCCCATAAACGTCCTGAACACAGCAAAATAAAATTGTATTTATAGTTATTAAACTGTACAAATCTGCAGTGTAGTGATTTTTTCCCGTTTGCCTGGTATTGACTACCAGCTGGTAGATAATGTGTTTCAAACTTTATTTTTTTACCATTTCACAGCTGTTCAGTGTTTTACTTGTAGTATGTTATTAAAATAAAAAAGCTTTCTTTCTCTGATATGCTGTGTATAGTGTTTGTTCTACTGTGCTTTATAACCTGGTATTGACTTCAGTTATCCAGTGTTCGTGATCAGTTGTGCAAAACATTTCGCTTTATTCCCCATGTCTGTTGCATATAATTAGTGGATGAATGTATGTGTTCTGTTGATAGGTTATAGACTTTCTACTGTTCTCAACTGTTTTTCACTTTAATTGGATAGTCCTAACACATGCCTACAAACGCTTAGTGGAGAACCTACTAAAAGTATACTAATAGTCAACTCTAGATTAGTTGACGATCAACAGATAGTCAACTAAACTCTAAAGTTGCTTATCTGTTGATCATCAACTAATGCTTAATGTAATAGTCAACTAAACTTTAGTTGCTTATCTGTTGATCATCAACTAATGCTTAATGTATATTCTACTGGCAGTTAGTTGAATGCATGTTACTTGTCTGTTGAAACAGTGTTGTTGAATGTCAACTGATGACTTATAGATTGTTAACTATGGACTATCAAAATAAAGTGTTACCGAAAAAATAAATCCATCTATTACTACACGACATATTTAAATGAAGCTGAACCTGCTGCTCCTCACAGAGGGAAGAGTCTGTGTGAATTGCTTTGAATTACTTTGAATCACCCCATTGTTCTGTGTGTCAAAATGGAAGGTTTCTGGCTAACGTTAGCTTAGGTACTCAGATCTTGTTCTTGAGTAAAAGTAGAAGTACCAGAGTGTAGGAATACTAAGTTACAGTAAAAGTACTGCATTCAAAATGTTACTCAAGTAAAAGTATGAAAGTATTGTCATCAAAATATAGTTAAAGTAGCGACAGTAAAAGTAGTCACTGTGCAGATTGGTTGATTTCAGAATACTATATATGATATGTTTTATAATGATTGATCATGAAAGTATTCTCAAAGCTGGTAAAGGTGCAGCTAGTTTGAATGACTTTGTATACTGCATACGGTAGCTTGTGGATTTACTCCAGGTGGAACTAAAGTCTGATTAAACACTTGATTAGATTTCACATCATTCATCCACATCTGTGAAGTAACTAAAGGGATTAAATACATGTAGTGGAGTAGAAATACACCATGTACCACTGAACTGTAGTGGAGTAGAAGAATAAAGTAGCAAAACATTTAAATACTCAAATAAAGTACCAGTATCTCAAAATTGTGCCCAAGTATAGTACTTGTTGAGTTTATGAACTTAGTTACTTAACACCAGTGGCTAT